ACACCGTCGAGATACATTCACACTCATTTTTCCAAATGCCATCAACAACACAAGTCAGAATCAATTTAGATCGAAAGAGAAGAGGAGAAAGATTCAACCAAAACTGGGATAATCAAAATCAAACCTAAAGGTGGGAGGGGAGAGAATCGAAATCGAATTGGAAGGCGAGATTAGAACGACTTGAAGGTTGGAGTGGTTTTCATCATGAGGACGCCGACCCTTTTGCTTCGGCGACGATGTCGTCGTGTTTCTTCTTTGATTTTCATTTTTTTGTTTTCATTTCTGATTCACTGTTTTTAAATGATGTTGACGAATATTGTTTGTGCCTGTTTGGTAAACCGGTTGGGTATTAAGAAAAGGGATGAACCATGGTGATATCTAGTTTGGACCGTTGGTGTTATTGGTCTTATGACTCTTCTTTTTTGTCATGATAGTGAATGATGGGCTTCGATAAGCCCAAGTGATTTTTCTATTCATTATCACTTATTCTGTTTTTACACCCCATTTTTATCATTCCCCCTCCCCTGTTTTTATTAATTATTTCTTAAATATGTAATATACTAATTATGTTTTGTATTATATATTTTTTTTAGTTTTTCTTAAGTTTTGTAAATATATATTATTATTATTATTAATTATTATGTATATTATTTTCCACTTTTCTTTTCTATATATACTTTATTTATATTTTATATATTAAAAATTCTTTTTAGAACTTTATACTTTTTATTATTAGAAGTTGGATTTCATTTCGCATTTTTTATTGGGCATTTTGTCCCATTTTTCTCTTTTGGGTCGATGACGAGACCTCCGTAATTCATTATTAGTCAAAAAATTGATGGATAATGTTGGATCTGAGACCACCTTTTTTCTCTCCTCATTTCTTTTCATCTTCTCGATTTTATTTTGACTTTTGGTGATCGATGAAGTCTTGTAAGACGAGATCCCACTGTTTTTGGTCCGTGCGACATGATTCAATTGGAGAACGATACTCAATATCGTTTCTCTATCTTGTCCATAGCATGAAAATTGATACGCGGTCTCTTAAAGTTTGAATTCCCTTATAAGTCAAGCTATGACGGTTTAGCGTCACATTGGTCCCGATTTGAAGTATCCTCAAGGATTAAAATAGGAGAAGATTGGAATGGAGCTTGCGCACAATGTCAAGGGTCAACGGAACCACTTCGTTCGGTAACATCTTTCTAATTCAAGTCTTTTAATCAACCGTCGAGCATTGTGAGTTCTGAGCAATAGATATGTGGGAAATGATGAGTGGGGGGCCTCCTATTATTCGTCTAGGGTGTTTAGCATATGTCCTTTGGACAATATGCGACGCATTCGCTCCTACGTCATAGGTTCTAGCGTGTGTGTCCCGAGTTCCTTCTCGTTTAGGCGTGTTAGGCCTGCTTCCTCTTTCCTCTCGTCCCCGTGCGATCGAAACTCTTTCTCTCGCATCCTGGAGATTGAGATTCCCTCTCTTGCCCCCGTTCAATCGAGACACCCTTTTCTCTCCCTCTGTGCGATCGAGATCGTTTTTCCGTAGTTAGCTGAACTACAGCTGCTCTGATTTCTCATACCAGATGAGAATATGTAGGCACAAGACGGCGATGTCTTGGCGAGCACCCTTTCTCGTTTCCCGTAGTTAGCCGAACTACGGCTGCTCTGATCTCTCATATCTGTTGAGAGTACGTAGGCATAGGATTGCGATAATCCTAGCAAGCACTTTTCCTTTTTCCCCCTTTAGGTAACCCGTACCTTTAAACCAATGAAATACTACGTCTATTCTACCGCAAACAGGTAACACCTAAGTCTCCAATGGTCGAGCAGCAACACACCTAACTGCTAGAATGCGTGCGCTAGTATCGTCTACCTCTTCTCTCACCCTCGTGTGATCGAGAACACCCCATTTACCCGTAGTTAGCCTGAACTACCTTTTTCTCTGATTTCTCGTACCATATGAGAATACGTAGGCACAAGATGCGACGTCTTGGTGAGCAATTCCCCCCATAGTTTCCTGAACTACGTTGACTCTGACTTTCCCATTGTACGAGGGAATACATAGGCATAGAGCGGCGATGCTCTATCGAGTCAGTTCTTTCCTTTCTTTTCAATTCTTTCTATTTTAGCCTTAGCAGTCGTAGATAGTTTGTTTTTTCACCCATAGACTAGACAACAAGCGTGGATCTCGTCGAGTACGACGGACGTGAGGGGTGTTAATACCTTCCCATTGCGTAACCGACTCCCGAACCCTAGACATGGTTGCGATGACCTGTCTTCTCCCGTTTCGTCAGGTTTTCTATGCTCGTTTCTTTTCCCTCGTTGGGATAAATAACGAACGGTGATGACTCTTTTGTCATTGCAAGCACCTTTTTTCGCAGTAGCGACACATACTGCATTGTATGGAATGAAACAAGCTCCTAGAGTCTGGAATCTAAAAACTTGATTTATTTTTCAAACTTCAACGATTCAGAAAGTGTGAGATGAAGTATGGTGTTTATGTTTGACATACTTCTGAATGCAATGTGATTTTTGTGTGTCGTTGTGTACATGACATATCGTTGACAAGAAGTTGTTCAGATGAGATAATGAAGTTCAATAAGGTGTTGATGAATGAGTTTGAGATGAATGATCTTGAAAATATGGTATATTTTCTAGGGATAGATATTATGTACTCTGAGAATGGTACCTTATTGTATCAGCTGAAGTATGGACTTGAGATTTTTAAGATATTTGACTTGCGGAATTGTAAGGTTGTTGTCACACCTTCAGAAACAAATCACAAATTGGATTCTGATCTTGAGGGTGATGATGTAGATGCTACAATTTTAAAGCAATTGACTAGCTTTCTGATGTATTTGTGCAATATCAGACCTCATATTTTTTATGTAGTTGGAATGGTTAGTAGGTTCATTCACTAGTGGAAAAAATGCTTGTTAAGTCAGTTAAAAATGACTTCTTAAGACGGTTTCGAACCTGACCTAAGAATTGCTGACATAAGAAGTTTCGACTTATTAAGTCGGATTTAGACCTGACTTAAGAAAATTTTATTAAGTCAATTAAACAGCGCCCGACTTAATAAGTCTTGGCTTTCAAATATATTTAACTGACCTAACAAGTCGATTTTTTTTGTAATAACACTTTTTTTAGTGTGTGTGTGTATATATATATATATATATATATATATATATATATATATATATATATACACACACACACACACACACACACACACACACACACACACACACACACACACACACACACACACACACACACACACACACACACACACACACACACACACACACACACACACACACACACACACACACACATATATATATATATATATATATATATATATATATATATATATATATATATATATATATATATATATATATATATATATATATATATATATATATATATATATATATATATATATATATATATATATATATATATATATATATATATATATATATATATATATATATATATATATATATATATATATATATATATATATATATATATATATATATATATATATATATATATATATATATATATATATATATATATATATATATATATATATATATATATATATATATATATATATATATATATATATTTTAAAGAATCGGTTAACAATCAAAATATTTTAAAGAATGGAAGGTTAGAAGTTCATAACAATGTAAAGCCAGTATTGCTACATTTGGTTTATTAACCAAATTCACAGTTTTTACAAATTGCAAGTTGTATCCAAAATTTACAGCTTGGAAACGGGACTCAATTATGAAAATATCTAAAGCTAAGTTGTTACATGAGGAGCAAGCCATTACGTAAATCCTACGAAATCCATAGAAACACAAGCGACCATTTGTTTGAATAGGCTTTTCGCATTGAAGCAGTCCCAAGGACTCCGCCGAGCGAAATACATGTTGCTATGGTGCTTGGTATATCTCGCGGTAATCACCTACATTTGAACAAACAATGAAGATTCAGTAACAGCTGACGGCAGACGATATCAGAATGCGAAACCAATTGCAAGAATAAAAATCAATGGCAATTGTTTTCTCACTTATTCATGACAGGAATCATTTGCTTACCGCCAAATTTCAGAATATAACAATTGTTGGTGGCTGGTGGCAATAACTCAATGGAGCCACATGCATCCACAGGCAAATCACGGAAGAGAGCTCATTGAATCCACAAAGACCAGAGTTCCTGCACAAATATAGAGGAATATGTGAATATGTTGGTAAGGATACCGAATACAGCAGCAAACAACATACAATAGAACAATCATCTTACGTTATTGACCCGTACCACGCCCACGACTTCACTCGTTACAACTTCGTAAGCTTTACTTTGAACAATCACAAAACAACTCCGAGTGTCTGCTGACCCAACTCGAACGATGCCTTTGAAACCTTCATGACAATAAGGGATCAAGGTATCATTCAGACTTAGAATGTACCTTCCACCAGCATAAACCGAAACCATCCACGAAACAAGTTTTAAAGAAAGCTCCTGCATAATTTCTAAGAAGATCGAGTCGTATCTCGAGTTGAGAACGGAATCTTACTCTTGACAAATATCATTATCCTGTAATAAGCACATTGGTTTGATAAGTTTTCAACTCGTTTCAAAACTTGTAAAGACAAAAAGAAAACATCAAGAACAACACGTGTACAAACTTAAGGAATGCTCAGATATTGAGGATTTCAAGGAAAACTCGACAAAGCTTCATGGCTATCCTTTCGAGGCTCACGCTCTAACCTGTCAAAACAACACAACTGATAATTAGAATAAACCATTGCAGAAGGAGTTTAGAAGTTAAAAGTCAAGAATTAGAAGAAGCTCAGCCCTCGGTTCAACTCATCATTGGGCATAAATTCGAACGGCCCGGAGGGCGACAATCGAAATGGTCACCGACTCCCTACCGAACATCGAAAAAAATTGAATTCCGGATAAAAGAGCAACTAGTTTCAGACTGCGTTCGACACAATGCAAAGCACAAACAACATCGAAGCAACATTGGCATCCTCATTTCCCTCACGATTCAGACTTGTGTTGACAATAGGATCTTTAAGATTAGCAGTTTCTTGAGATGTAAAGCTTTCGTGTCGAGACAACATACTATGCAATAGCATGCTACCTTGCCCATTCACAGGTTGAGCAATCATTGTAACTCCCTCATTAGGTCCATATAATTTTATACAATCTTTTCCTGCTTCTTGGTTGATAAGGATCTCACTAGCTGGAGCAACCACATATTCTTCTATGGATATGTCTTCACCCCCAGGATTGAGACCCTCCGCGAGCAAAGCCATCTCCCCTATAAATCAAAGACAGTAGATTCCTAATCAGTTGTGTTACAAAAAACATAAAGCTAACAAAACAAGCAAAGGCTAATTAAGTGTAACCTGAGACATCATCAACACGGAGAAGTCTTTTCAAAACATTCTCAGCCTCAAGGATTCGACCTTTGCTTACAAGCCACCGAGGAGATTCAGGGAGGTAAAACAAAGTCAACAAAAAATAAACAACAGAAGGAACAGAAATAGCACTAAGCATAACTCTCCAACTAGGTGACGGCATCAAGGACATTAAGAAAACAAGAATGTAAGCCAAAAACATTCCAACAGAACAAGAAAACTGTGCAAGAGTGTTTAATTGTCCTCTAATATCAGGTGGTGCTATCTCAGATATGTAAAGTGGATTAAAAGTAACAGCTAGAGCAATGGCCACACCTTTGATAATCCTTGACAAGAGAATAACATTAACATTAGGAGCCCACAACATTACCAAACCACTAATGATAAACATAACAGAAGATGTTATCAACATAGGTCTTCTTCCAACCATATCAGAGATTGTTCCAGAAAATATGGTGACAACAGTTGCAGTTATATATTCTTGAAAATATTTTATCATAAATAGTTCAGTTGAAGAAAATCTTGTTATACAGAAATGGGATTCCCAGTACAAACATCAATCACCCTTGCATCTTTATACACACTCACAAATATTTTGATGATAATGAAAATTTGGGGTTGAACCTATCACAAACGAGCATTATTACAGAGAAGTAAGAAACACATGAACATAATGACCCATAAACTTGGTGTAAGATAATAATATAATCCCTAATGCTCTGAAAAAACAATAAAAGGCAGGGTAAGATACCTCTTAGAAAACTGATGCCAAAATCAGTGACTTTACTACATGAAATCTCTAGGCATGTCAAGCTTGCAAGTTCTGGAAGCAAATTGAATCAAATAGATGTATAGTTAGTTACTGAAATATGTGTCAAATAAGATGACAATGATGTCTTCTATAAATACAAAGATACACTGACAATTATATGGCTGGCAAACATAGTTGTCGCAATCTGTTCTTTCTAGAGAAATAAAACACTTTGTAGATTTTCACTCAAGGCAGTTCAACTTTACTTGGGCGGAATGTGTGTAGGTTCTTAAAATGAACCTAATAACCTGAATATGAACTATTCAGTAATGGAAATACACTAACGGCATTGAAGAAAGTCTCGACTACAAAACTTCTCTAAACTTTTGAGCTATTGTACCAAAAGGATGCAAGATGCAACAAACCTGATAGAGGCTTCATATCGGAATCTGTTATGCAATTACACCACTTCATATTGAGAGATTCCAACTTAGTTAATCCTGAAAAATATGGACCAAATAATTTGATTGAACTTATGAAGAAATCAATTTTGGGTTTCTATCCATTCTGCACACAAATACTGTAATAGAATTCTTCTTCATTTTCCGATCCTCTTATTTGTGTTCTGCTAAGTCCAGACACAAACACAAATGTTATCTAGTAATAGTAAAGATTTACTTTTCACAAAAAGTTATGTCTAAGCATATCTTTTGAATGTTGTTTAATAACTAGAGTAGTTGAAGTTCACTAAACAGCATTGGTTAGTAAAGCTTTACTTTCCACACAAAGTTACACTTTAGAACCAACCTTGAATATGGACAAGGCCTCCATGAATCCCAAGGAATCTCTCCAAATCTAACTTGACCAAGTTAACAATATCATAGAAGGCACTCATTCCTTTAGAAGATATTGAATCATTTCTTCTAAAACTCAAACATGTCAAGTTCGACAGACCTGAAATATGCCATTACAGATGTTGTAAACCATAAGTAAAAGCAAACTATGGACAATGATTTTAGACATAAGTAATAAGAAATAATCACAACCTCCATCATATTTTTGTCAGCTACTCCCTGCAGAACACAGAAGAAACATAACAGATTGCCACAAACACAATAGCAAAATTAAGACCAAAACGGGCAAGCCTTTGAAGAGACTGCGCTGTAAGGATCAACTCCAACATACATCACCTCCCTGCAGAAGTCACTGTCACTTTCGCGAAAATAAGGTGCCGGCAAAATAGAACAGTCGCCACCTTTCGTTATTTATCCCTCAGAGCGGGAAAGGAAACGATCGGAAAAACCTGACGAAAAGGTATAAGACAAGGTCGTCGCAACCGTTGTCTGGGTTCGAGAGTCGGTTACGCAAGGGGAAGTTATTAGCACCCCTCACGTCCGTCGTACTCGACGGGATCCACGCTTGTTGTGTTTACTGGACGGGTTGGTTTTACCTATCTACCTATCAAGGCTGACTTAAACAGAAAAGAAAATGACTCGGCAAAGCGTCGCACTTTATGCCTACGTATTCTCATCAGAGAATGAGAAATCAGAGTCAACGTAGTTCGGCCTACTACGGGTTACGGGGAAGGTGGCTCGCCAATACGTCAGTATTGTGCCTACGTACTCTCAACAGGTATGAGAGATCAGAGCTTACGTAGTTCGGGGTACTACAGATTACGGGGGTTCAGATTCATCTGTTTTATCGAGTAGGGTTAACAAGTAGTTCCAGCAGTTAGGGACAAAGCCTGTTTGCAGTAGAACTAGGAGTTAACGACACTCTTTTCTTCAGAAAAGTTTTCCTTTGAATTACGGGCCCACGGGGCAAAAAGGTTTGAAGTTTGTTTTCTGTCTTTTACGAAAGAAGTGTTTTTTATTGTGTTTGCAATTTCAATCGCACTAAAGACTATGACCTGAGAGTGAATGCGTTGCATGTCACCTAAAGGGTGCCATACTAAACATCCGGACCGTTGAAAAGAAGCTCTCCAACAATCCTTTCTCAGATAGCTTAAGGCTCATAACGTACGGAAGAAATCATTCATGATTACTGTATCTTAAGCTGTTTTGAGATGAGAAGAGAACAGGCTCAACTACGGGGAGACTATCAAGTCCTACTGTTGTCATGCCAAGGATTCATCCTATGGTTGAAGTTTGAAACAAGGGACTCCTAGAAGTTATCATGCATAGGTTTCAACCTAAAGTTCTATCATCACTTCCTTATCAAAGGAAGTGAGATTCCTAGGGGATCATGTCAAAGATAAACAGAAGATAAAGCATCAGCTTAACAGTAAACAGATATACAGTAAAATGCATGCAATGCAAGTGAGGGAGGAAATGTGTGTGGGGCATCAGCCTCCACAAGCTCGTCTCGACCTCAAGCCAGATATGAATAACTGCAATCATACAGAGGAAATAACATGCTATCAAGCAAAATAGAATAACAACTGCAATCATACAGAAGAAATACCATGCTATCAAGCAAACACAAACCACATGGGCAAGGGAGCAGGGCTCTACCGAATACCCGCAAGCAAAGCCATACAGTAACAATACAAGCAGAGGGAGCAACTCAACCTCTAGTGCATACATGCTCCTAGTTCAAAGTCAGTCTAGATATGAACTTATTCTAATGCATCAAGCAAGTCAAACAAGGCACATCAATACAGAGAAGAAAACAGACAGGAAAGAAAGCAGATCAACCCCTCTGTCAATTCCAAGCTTCAGCTCTTCTGACAGCAATCCAGTCTTCAGACTTCAACCAACCTTTAAGGCTAACATCCTCAATGACAAGTATCAACTTGCTCCTCCAAGGTTTCAATCCATCAAACATAAGTTTCAACTTACTCTTTCTTCTCCAAGCTTCAGCTCTTCAGTCAATTCCACCTTCAGGCTTCACTCTTAACCACAAGTATCAACTTGATTCCTTCAGGCTCTCAATGCATCAGTGTAAGTGTCAACTCACCCTTTATGCCTCAAGCCTCAGCTCTATACTTAATCCCAATTGAATCCTCCTCATAAGTACCAACTTAGTCTTGAAGCTCTTCTGCTCTCTTTGCTTTACCAGTGTCAACTTGGTCTTCTTCATCTACAAGCTTCAGCTCCTCAGAGTAGTCTTCAATCACCTGGAAGTGTCAACTTCATCCTTCAATTCTTTTTCAAGCCTCAGCTCTTCATTCAATCTCCATTGGGTCTTCAAGTATCAACTTGTTCTACTTGCTCTTCAAGCTTCAGCTGCAATGGCAATGCTCAAGGAATCATCCTCTTCCACACTCTTCAATGAAGTCCTCATCTTCAAACTCAAGTCTAACATCTCTCAAGATACTCAAACCAGAAGACAATTGATTTAACAGAATGAGTGGAAATGATAAGCAGCTTACTGACAGCCAAAGGAAGCCTGTAAGGGTTCATCATTATGAGAGACTGGTTCCCTTAAAGTTCTACTTCCCAGATAAAGCCACTCATCCTTCCAAAGGAGGGATGTGAATATCTTAGAAGGACTTTTAGTCATTGGGAGGAATGGAAGCACAAGATACTTTCCATATTTGTGAAAGAAATCATTCTAGTTCTAAGGCTCTCCCTAGGTCTCCTATCTCCTAATTCTTCATCAGACACCTTCAGGCACAAGCAACTCCTAGCTCCAAGCAACTTCAAGCATCCTCACCTTGTCTTCAATCTCAACCAAAGGCAAATAAAGCAAAACCCTAGTCTAAGGGGATTAAAGAAGTTAGTCTAGTTGAGTTAGTACCCTAGAATCATCTAAAACTAGCACCTAAACTAAAATCAAACAGAAATAGGAAACTATCCTATAAATTTCTACAAAAATTCCTAAGGAATCCTAATTCAATTAAGAATGCCTCATACAAAAACCAGGGACTAAATCATCTATTAAGCCCTAAAATTAAATCCTAAATCCTAAGGTATCAACCATAAACCCTAAAAATGGAGCTTCTAAAGGTTTCAACCTAAACTACCACCTAGGTTCATCACAAAAATGTGAGAAAAATTCTATGGGAACATACATGTCTAACCTAATCACACACAAAAAATCAGGATCAAAGTCATCACCACATGATCAAACAAAATTCCACAAAATTAGGTATCAAACATAACCATTTTAATATCAATTAAAATATAAAATTCCCATAAAATTAGAAAATGCATGAAATGAAAATATTTTTTTTCTAAAAAATAATAGACTCAATCATGAGTATAATGCAAAAAGAATGGGATTAATTGGATTAATTTTCAATTTTATATGATTTTTTCAAGAACCATGAATAAAATGAAAAAAATAAAAGAAATCAAAAGAAAATAATCACACGCGCGGTGCAAATAGCAATGACAATCAGTTCATATAATGGATTGGGCTCGCTGGGGGGTGTGGATATCAGGTATTTCACTAAGCCCAAAACCACTGATTAAATGAAACGCAGCGTTTCATAATCAGAACTCCTTCACAACTTGAAATCAAAGCGGGGCCGTTGGATCATGTCTTCAGTCAAAGTCCAACCCCCATCCAATGGCCCTAGAGTCATCTTCAACCTTTTGAATGCTTGAACTTCGCGCGCAGCTCCGGCCACCACCGGTGGAGCTCCGGTCATCACCCTCAACCCTAACTCTCTCCACAGGCCTCCAATCCAAGAGGTCTCTACATGAAACTTGTCCCAAATTTCGTCACGAATT